GTCTCATAGAAAAACAAAGCAAAAAAAACACACTCCTGTAGCAATGAGCACGCCTAGCACCTAGACCTTGGTTTCTAAATACTATTAAAAAGCAAACAGAGCTCCTTGGAGAAATGTTGGATTCCAGATCTGGGTCAAGGAAAGTGAAAGGTGATCCAGGGAATTTTTTGTCCAGAAAGCAAAGAAGTGTGCAATGAAGGTCACATTAAAATGACACAAGAAAGGACTCCCCCTGGCCAAATTTGGAACAATTTAAGCATCCCAAAGAATAGTGATGGTAATGGATCATCACACATCGAGTTAAAAACTACAAAAATAAGTCTGCAAAGATGTTAACAAGTAAGGGGGTGAGAGGCGGGAGGACACAGGGAAAGCTCTTCTTTACAATAAATGTAAAAGAAATGACAGAATTAGAAAACTGCCATTTTTTAACCCCCAGTGTAACAGTTAATTTGGGCAAAAATCATCATTGGATGCTATTAATAAAAGTATTCGGTGAAACGTGTGGAGGACAATGACATGCGCACAGTCTCAAAGTATCACGATACTTTGAGTACCAACTCACAGATCATTTACTTATTACAAAGGGGAAAAATACCTTTACAGCGTAGAGCTCTGGAGGCCACCACCTTAACCCAGTAATCGAAATTGGCATTACCAGTAGCGGGACAGGCTGACGGACATGGCTCCTGATGGGATGCACTAAGGTGTCCCCAACACAGCCCACGTAGTATTCTTGCCAAAAACATTTAACCTCAGTCTCATCATGAGGAACAATCGGACACAGCCAGAATGTGAGGCGTTCTCCAAGACAACGGGCCTGGACTCTTCTGAAAGAGCCAATATTGTAACAAACAAACCGGCACACAAAAATATTGGGGTCTGTTTTACATTCCAAGGACTCAAGAAACATAACCACCAAATGAATTGTGTGAACATTAATTAGATATTGGCTTTGGAAAAAATTCTATAAAAGATATCATGGGACAATTGGGGATGTCTGGCTGGGGGCTGCATATGCGATGTTATTTTGGAAGAATTATTAATTTTCTTAGGTGTGATAATGCTATGGTTATGTAGGAGAATTTTCTTATTCTTAGGAGAAATGTGTTGAAGTATTTAGCAGTGACATGTTGTGATGTCTACAAAATACTCTCAAATTTTGAGCAACGATAAATATAAATAGAGAAAGAGCAAATATGGCAAGATGAGCGTAAGCGAAGGTGATAGGTGTTCATTATTTTATTTTTGTAACTTTTCCATAGATTTGAACATATTCAAATAAGAAACTGCAAAGAGATTTAAACGTGCTGGTGGGGGTCACATGTGAGGGAGGCTTGTCCCACCTGCCTTTCCGCTGGTCCAGGCTGGGTTCCGCTCAGCCCTTCTGCCATCCGCACGTTCTCTGCCTCCTTATCAAGCTGAAACGTTGTCTCTTGTTTCCACTCAGGTGAAGACCCCCTTGTGGACGATCAAAATGAACGTGATATCAATTCAGTCGCTGGTGTTTTAAAACTGTATTTCCGAGGACTGGAAAACCCACTCTTTCCTAAGGAAAGGTTTCAAGATTTGATATCTACCATTAGTAAGTATTTCCCAGGAGGAACAATGGATTCCTTGACAAATCTTTATTGAAACTGGGCTGCAGGCTCATCTCTTTGCTAGGCACAGAGGAGGGATTATTACGAAAGAAGAAGTGTGGCCTGCATCCTCACTGAACTTAAAACCTAGTTGTGGAAATAACAAGATGGTGTATAACAAAAGGGGTAGTGGGCACGGCACACCCCCGGGTACAAAAGGGGCTCAGAGGAGAAGCAGAGGAAGACTTGGCTTTGTAGATCAGAGCTGAGAGATGTATGTGAGCAGAGTCTTCCAGGAGGAGTGGACACAGGGAATGCTGGGAATGGTTGGGGACACAGACCAGTGGGACCAGCAGGAGGGTGACCTGGCCAGTGCATGGTGCAAGAGGCTGAAAGGGTAAAATGGAGCA